TATTAAAAATAATAAAATAAAAAACTTACATTTTCAAATATAATCTAGTTACTCTCACATCTAAATAAACTATAAGTCAAGTTTAAAACTTGAATTGCAAATCTTTTTAATTCTAAACATTTATTCTTGTAAGAATCCCACCATTTATCTAATTTTTTTTAATCCCTTGTTTTTTTGGCAGCGTCAATGCCAAACAGCTATTTATCATTTTTAAATGATTCAACCTATAAGTCAATTTTGCACATTTCACTCGCATCAGATACCATTTTTGTTAAGAATTGATATAATCCAATTTTAATGTTGGTATTAATCTTAAAAAGGGTTATAATAATAATAAGAATTCAATTTATAAGTTGTTGCATGTAAAAGTCTATGAAATCGAAGTTTCCATTTTATAGCAAGAATATTCCCTATAGGTATAATAATAATAATAATTTATGAAATCATTATCATTTTTAACTAACTATATAGAAAATTCCAGCTAAGTAATAAATAACACAATTATAATGAAAGTAAAATAAACATATTGAATCAACTAGTAGTAGTAAGTGAACAATTAGCAAAATAGATGATTAGTAGTTCAATATCTTTTTTTATAAAATCAGAATTTACTTGTATCATTTCTTTTGCTTAATCCATCACTAAATCTCATAGTTGATTTTTCATTTGAATCAACTAAATAAAAAAAATTTAATTAAAGAATATGTTGTCCTAAGATCTATAATGACATCATATCAAAACTTGTTTTTCAAAACACACCTTTGAATTTACTTCTCTTATTTTATTCTTAAAAACCTATATGAGCTTTATTGTTTGGAAATAAACATAGTCATTGGTTGCATTCCATAATTATTCAAACATTCTAGGATCAAGTATGTAGTAAAAAATCGATTGGCAACATGCCTAATCAAATCTTTTTTTTTTTTTGTAAAGTGTCTCAACATGGAAATAAGAATTATTCTTGAATAAATATATGAGTTGATTCTCTTTCCCTTAACAATAGTTACTTGATAGATCTTTATTTTCTTTTTAAAATCTTCTAATATCAAATATCAAATTGATACAAGGAGCATCATATGGTTTCCAAAACAACCGTTGTCCTTTTCCTATCAATAATTATTCTGCAGCCTTATAATTTGCAACATTATCAGTGATTACTTATACAATAATTTCCTCTCCAATCCTCTCCGTAATAGCACATAATATCTCAAACACCTTATCAATAGTCTTAGACTTATTAAAAGTATCTACTGACAGTAAGCAAAATTATTCTTTTAGAACTATCAATCAAAAAATTACAAATATAATATTTTTTCTTATATGTCCACCCATCAAATATTATTGGAAAACATATTTTTTTCTTTTTTATTCTAAATTGTACTCAAGAAAATTTATTGTCTAATCTATTTCTTGTTTCAAATACTTATCTCTAATATTATGGTAAGATAGAAGCTTGAAACTTGACCCATGCTTTGCAACCTTCAAGTGCTTTGAGAAACTCAGGGTTTTTCACATAGTTAAATGGAATCACACCAGTGTAGAAAAAACTTAAAGTCTATTAACATGCTTTTTCTCCAAGATTGTTTTTTAGCAACTGGTTTATATTAGTTTATGTACTTCCACCCTTACTAATTGTATCTTTTCCTTTGTCTTTTAAGCTAATTTCTTTCCTTTCATCTTTATCATCTTTTATAATACATTGAAGAATCTTCTTTTTTTCATTTGCTTTTTAATTTCTCTCCAAAACATCCAAAATCATCTTCTTTATCTTTTCTGGTACTTTATGACATAACTCCACGTCCTTACGAGTACAAGTCAAATAATGTTTGAAATGAAAATTGTCTCTACTAATATATATTTTTTTATAATACTTATACTAAATTTTTCTTGAATTCTTATAAATATCTATACCGTGTTGTAATCACATATCAAGCCTATTACAAGAGGAATTTTTTCTAGATGTCATATGTTCAGTAGTTTAAGAATCAATTCAAATAAGCCTTGTAATCAATTCAAAAAATATTGTTAGAACCAAACTGTAATCAATTCAAACAATAGGCTATAATTTACAAGCATTCAAACAAAGTTACATGTTAAACACTCCAAAACAAAAACCAATTCATTTACAAGCATTCAAACAAAGTTACATGTAATAAAACACTCCAAAACAAAAACCAATTTAAATGATCATTTTTTTAACAATTGAAATTCTAATTTCAAGTTTAAAAACTTTATCAATCATTTCTAATTTTTTTTAATTATAATTTAACTTCTAGAATAACAAAAAAAATCCAAGCAAACTACTTGGGTTTTTTAGGGTTAGCTACATTGACCTTTCCATTAATAACTTAACTCCTAATGAAATCCATGGAAATGTCTAATAAAAAAAAATCTCAACTGATAATTCAAGATCTTCTACATTTAATGTAGGTATTGGAGTTGAAATAAGAAATTTATACATTTAAAATCAAATTTTTTCCCTAAGAAATCATAATTACAAATCTAATTGACAAGGTAAAAACAACATACATGAACTAAGTACTGGTAATTGTTTTATAAAAGCATTCAAGCATTGTAATAATACTAAAAAAATAAAATTGAAATCATGAAATTAGGATAGAAAAGAAAAGTGTACCTTTCTATAAATAATAAGCTAGCAATCATTACGACTGTTATGTTTAAAAACCTGGGCCAAAGAGCATAACAATTTTCCTCCTTTTCTTTAAGAGTATATTATTGTTGGTGGTGATTATAAATTTATAAGTCATCTTGGAAGAGATGACAGATTATGGGTCTTGAATTACTTTGTCACTGGTATTGTGACTATGGTGTTGTGAGAGATGGAGATGAACAATTAGGTTTGTTAAGATTACGAGGGAGACACCATGTATGATGCTATTATAACAGTGAGAAATTAGTTACTTGAGGTTAGTGGGGAGGTTATCATGCAAGGTGAAAAGTCCTTAGTTTTTATAGTGAGACATACTTATTCTTATAATGAAATTAAGTGATATTATATTTCCAAATAAAAATGTTAAATTGATATTAAAATGATGAGTTTACTAATTTTACCAACTTAGAATGATTTTAATATGATTTTAATTAGTGTTTTAGTTTTTAAAATAATTTTGCATGATAAGTATATGATGACCCATAAATCATACAATTTTACAAATAAACTCATGATTTTAACAACTTTGAGCTGACCCTTAGTTTGCTTTGGATCTCAAATTCAATTGGTGTGACCCAATTAATTTGCAAGGTTAATCCATAACCTAATTAAAATGGGTTTGACTTTAAAAAATGAATTTTAATGCAAAAATTTTTTAACTTTTTTTTTGTTTAAATAAAATTATTTAAGACTGAATGAGATGAATTTAAGTTAATCTAACTAACATATGATCTAGACTTTGGATTGAATTAAGATTCAATCAAGTTTAATGACTTTGGTTGAAAGAAAAAGTTACAATAAAAAAAGAAGAAAAATTATTACCTTAAGCATCTAAAATAACTAAGTTAATCTAACTAACATATGATTTAAACTTTGGATTGAATCATGAATCAATCAAGTTTAATGACTTTGGTTGAAAGAAAATGTTACAAAGAAAGAAAAAAGAAAATTTATTACCTTACACATCTAAAATAACTAGGAAATATAATGGTGCTTAACTATTTATATGAACAATGAAGTACTTGGATTTTTTTTTTCATTTTAAAACCTTTTTTTTTCAATTACATTTTTTTTTGCCTAATTAAATGAAATTAGGTAAGTTATTTTGGTAAAAAATACCAAATTAAAAGAAATGAGATTGAATTGTAAAACACAAAAAAAAAATGGCTAACCCCAAATCCACAACAATTTTTATTTTGGTATAAAAGTTCTTTTTGTTTAATTTTTTTGTCTTAGAATTAGATAGAATAAAGAGAAATTCATTAAAAAATGATAGTAAAGACCGGTAATTATAATTTAGGCAATCAAAATAATCAAGCATGGTGTAAAATAGTTCTATGTGATGATTAATTTAGGTTTCTGAAATGTTTACTAGGTATTTTTTTAATGTAAAAAAGGTTAAAAAATAAATATTTCAATCTAAAAAATACCTTAGCTTAATTTTCCAACCACCATCCATGATAAAAAAAAATTAGATTGATAGGTCTAAAGCTTGACAAAAAAAAGAAGGCGAGGTGCGCTTTGGGTCAATAAGTTAGGCCCACCCACCTAGCTTTGTTTATTTTTATTTTTTCAAGAGATAAATGACATGCATAATTTTTTTAAATAATTTTTTTATTAATATTGGAAAAGAAAAAAAATCTATATTTATTCTAATTTTTTTTATTTTTCATTAAATTAATAACCCGAATAGTACTAAAATAAATGTGTGTATAATCTTGAGAAATCCACTAACCTGGAAATTTAAAATTTCCTAATAGCCCCCTCATGAGAAAGCAAGTCGAAAAAAAATATTTTTTTATAAAAAAAATATATTGATAAGAAAATTTTTGTAATTTTTTTCTATACAGTTTAAATTATTTATGTTCTAACAAAAAAACAATTAATGAAATTCTCGTAATATTAGATAGTTTAATATGTATTTTATCTTATTTTTCTAACTTATTTTTTTTGTTAGAATTAAAAATAATTAATGAGATACTTGTAATATGGATTATATATATTAATATGTATTTTATCTTATTTTTATGAATTAATTTTTTTGTAAGAATTAATATAATAATTATAATTTATTAGTATACATAATTTTTTATCTTTTTTATTAAATGTAAGTATTGGTTTTTTATTTTTTAATTACATTTTTCTTGATGGTAGAAAAAAGAGTTAACCATGCCAACGTGCTTATATAATTTAATAAATTACATAATATATATATATAAGGAAAATAAAATAAAATGTAAAATAGGAAAAAAAGAAAGAAAGAAAGAATGAAAGAGGGCTGGGCCCGATCCTCGGTACGCGCTGGCCTCTTGAACAGGTAAAATTATTAGCAAATTAAAAAACGGTATCATTTAAGGGCTCTGTTTCTTGAATCTTATCTTCTAAGGATTGATTGAGAAAGAAGAAAGCAGCAGCAACGGAAGCAGCAAGACTCTCTAAGAAATTCTTGTCTGCCCACCCTCTAAACAACCCTCAAGGTCTCTCTTCAATCTTTTCTTTCAATAGTCCTTAATTTTGTCTACTTTTATTTGGTGGGGTCTAGGTATTGCAAAGAAACAAATTCGCTTATCAGTGATTCTATTGGTGTCTCCTTTTCCGTAAGTTCTGTTTATTTCTTGAATAATTATTATTACTTTGCTTTGTCTTTTTATATGTTTGTGTGTGTGGTTTGTGTTGTTATAGATACACGAAGGAATCCCTTGTTTGGTTCCAATAGATGGAAAGATGATTGAAACAGCTGATGACCCAAAAATCTGATCCTGTTGTTTATTCATCTGCGGCAACAAATAACCGTGTAATTGATTACTAGGTTGTCTTTAAGTTAGAGAGAAAGTCAGTGTCCTTTTTTCTGATATTTTGTGATCATTGCTGTTGTTACGATTGTTGCGGTTTCTTTTTTCAGATCCAATTGTCCTATCCCAGAATTATTCTGCATTGATTAGCCGGTTTTAGCTATGAAGCTGAGATTGAGGTCTGTGCAATCTAAAGAAACTGTGAAAATACAAGTGCCGGATTCTTGTACTTTGCAGCAAGTAAAAGAAACACTTTCTGGAGCAATATCTTCTTCTGGCTCGTCTCTTTATTTGTCTCTTAATAGAAAGGATGAGCTGAATACCTCATTGCCAGAGGAGTCTTTGCAATCACTCGGTATTACGTCTGGTGACCTTATCTATTTCTCTGTCAATCCCAAAGATTTTTCATCCTCTGGTCAACCCCTATGTTTAGGTTCTAGTTCCTCTATACAAGAGCAGGTTCAAGGTCATCGGGGTAATGTACAAGAGCCTATGCCTGATCAATCGATGAGTTTTCAAGAGTCTAAAAGTTCGGATTTGAATATGCTCGAGAATCAAGATTTGTTCGTACAAGGGCATGTTGGTGTTCAGGCTAATGATACCGATTCTCGAGAAACCATAACTGAAATCTCTCCGCATATTCACTTGCTAGGACAGAAGCATGAGATTGCAGAATCAGATATGAATGGTGCAGTTACTGAAGGACATGGAGCGCTGGGTTCAAAAACTCGGAGCAGAGAAACCTTAGAGACCCAAGAATTTACCAGTGTGGAAGCTATGGATGTTGATCCTGGATCTTTAGATGTGGGCAATAAGAGGTTCTCTGAACCGTATTTCTTGAGGAGGCTATTGAGGAAAGAAATGGGTGATGATGGTAGCAACTACAAGCTCTTGGTTATTGCAGTTCATGCTGTTTTTATAGAATCTGGTTTTGTTGGGTTCAATTCTATATCTGGGATGCGAGTTGATGGATTTCACCTTCCAGAAGAGCAGTCATCTAGGAATTTGGCAGTGTCACTTTGTTACACTCTTCCTGAACTTTTGGATGGTAAAGTTATTGCTGAAACAATTGTTTTGAAGCTCCAAAGTTTAGGCCATTTTGTTAATGTCTATGGTAGTTTGTCCAAGGGTGGATCAGGGCTATATCACGCACGTCTGGATATAAATAAATTTGTGCCAGCTATAGATTTTGTGTGGGAAAATGATAAGAATGATGGGATGAATGGAAGTGATAAGTCATCCATTTTGTATCCTGAAAAAGAAATTTTTGAGTTCTGGAAAATTGTGAAGGATTGTCTTGCTTTGCCATTGTTGATAGATATTTGTGAGAAGGCTGGTCTGGTTCTTCCTTCATGCTTGATGTGCCTCCCAACAGAGCTGAAGCTCAAGATTTTTGAGTTGTTACCTGCTATTGATATTGCAAAAATGGAATGTGTTTGTTCAGAAATGCAGTACTTGTCTTCGAACAATGATTTATGGAAGCAGAAATTTGTGGAGGAGTTTGGAGATGGGACAGCAGCACATGGAACTCTCAATTGGAAGGCGAGGTTTGCTTCATATTGGGAGAATAAGAAGCGGAAGAGGGATTTCAATGCATGGCGAGAGTCTCGTCAATTTCTGCCCTTTCATGTCCCGATCAGGAGGGACCCTAATCCATTATGGTGCCCTTCAATTATAGGTGGTGATTATGACCGTCTGCCGGGGCTTGGTATTCCTCCTTATCGGCGTCCTGGTCTAGGATGGCCCCAACCTCGTCATAATTTTTCACCCAATTGTAACCTGGGGGGATTCAGTTCCTAGTCTGGGGCTTGAAGGCTTGCTCGATGACAGTGGAATGCTGAATATGAACCGAATAGAGGCATTTATGGGTCAGTTTATATGCACGATAAATAATGTGTTTCTGGTTGTAGTGCTTTTGAAGTCTACATTACAATTTGGAAGGTTTTTTTTTGGTTTTAATGTTTATAAAACGCTGTTGAACTCATCTCTTTGTTCTTATTAGTTATTGCCACTATTTTGGGTATATTTCAGTGTATTTTTAGCTTTTTGGTAGGTGGCATATTAAATTTGACTACCATGATATGAAGCCTGGATATTTTCTCCATGCTAACAGGAGGGAAAATTATGTTTGGGTGGGGCATCAAGGAGTTAAAATATCTACGTTAGAACGCAGCAAAATTATCCCTTCATCTTGTTCTTATTAAAAAATTATCGATAGTAGTGATCGCATATTTTCTTTGTTCTAGCTGACTGCTACACGGAACCAGCGTTTTACCAATTTAAAAGATGGAGTTATGAATTCGAATCTTAAAATCTTATCACTTTAAAATATGGTTTGGGTGTAGATGTTCCCCCCCCCCCGGTTGACGTAGGAGCTAGGATTATCAGTTGTACTGACATGTATTATGGAGTTGAGGGTGAATGATAGATATGATCATGCAGCTGAGAACACGTTGCATAAAACCTAGTAACACGAAGGGAATAGTTATTCGCCATTTTCAAGTGAAAAGGTCAAGAGTAACACTCATGTTTAGGTGCAACCGCTTTTTTGTTGCAAACTCAAATTCTGCTCTTTTGAAGCTAACAATCCTTACAGATCACTCAAAATAAGTAGACAACAAATATGACCATCCAATATGCGCTTACTTTCATTCAACCACTTGTATTAAATATCTAACAAGAGTGCTAATCCTCCATTAAAAATGGTTCTGAAAAATTTCGTCTCCTTCGTGTACAGCTTCATAGGCCTCAGAGGGCATCCAAGGATTAATGATGCGGCGGCGGCGGCAGCAGCTTGTAGGAGAATCACAGTGGATGTGTCGGGCAACGTCAAGCAAGGCGTGCTCGAATCTCCTGTCGGATCAAGTTCATCCGAAATCATAGAAGCCGAAGGTGAATACTGTTGTGTTTGCTTGTCGCGATTGAAGGCAGATGAGGACACGAGTGCTTTACCTTGCTTGCACAGGTTTCATAAGGTATGCATAGAAGGATGGTTTAATAATGTGTGTCGAAGAACTTGTCCGCTGTGCCGGTCGTCCATGGGGGGAGAAGAGAGGTCTCATAAGAGAGAAGAACAGTTCACTGAAGAGATGGTAATATGGTTTTCTTCTTTTCATGTAGCTGGTTTTTGAGTTTCAAGTTTCTGCACATTTTGACACTTTGCAATTAAAAAAAAAAAAATCTATTTTTAAGTAGGTCGAAGCTCATAAAGAGAATTGCCTTCCACACGAGTGGGAGAAAAAAAATTCAATAACTCCGTTGCTAGAATCCAATCCAGGCCTCCTGGGTCTGGGTGAAAGCCAGACAAATGGCCGCTGGACGACAACGGAGCTGTTTCATGTGATGGCTGCAACATAGTACTGACGAGGCCTGGTACCATCGCTTTGCTTTGCACCAATCAAAAGTCAATTATTGTATTAAAAAAATACGTGATCATTGTTATTTTTTTTCTTGCTTGTAATGAAATATTTGAAATGAGGATAGAAAAATTATTTAGTGGATGCATCATATTAATTGACCACCATCTATCCTTAATAAATATAAAAAGAATCAACATAACTTGTTCGACCTAACAAGTTTAGAGTGAATTATCGTTCCATTCAAATGGCAATCTAGGTTTTTTCAAAAAAATCTTCACATTTCTGTTGTTTTAATATTTACCTAGTCCCAATTTAATCAAATAAGTCATGAGTGAATTGTCATCCCATTTAAATGACTATATAGTTTTTTCAAAAAACTTAACATCTTTATTATTTTAACCTTTATATATTCTCAATTTAAATGTAAAACAACATATTATTAAAAGATTATATCGTAAAAAAAATTTAAGAGATTTTATAGAATAAACGTGACAAAAAAACTTGATTGCAAGCTAAACTTGATAAAATCCAAACTTGTATAAATGACAAGTCACCTCAAATATATAATAAGACTAAAGAAGTGAGCTTGAGTAGTTTCGGATAAATAACAATAACATGAGTGATACAATCCAAACTTGTATAAATGACAAGTCACCTCAAATATATAATAAGACTAAAGAAGTGAGCTTGAGTAGTTTCGGATAAATAACAATAACATGAGTGATACAATAATTATATCAAAAGTCTAAATGGTGCAAGATTCTCATAACAAGAAATGGAATAGGATGAGTGTGTAGTTATTAAAAGTTACTTGAACTTTTCAATTTTAAAAAGGATGTAAGGCAGAAGAAGAACAAAAAATCAAGAACAACAATTGCTATGTAATTGAAATAAATTTTCAGGAACTTCACAACATGTTTATCAGTAGCCTGTAATCCCATAAAAGATAATCAATAGGTATATAATTTGTAAGTAAATAGCTTGTTAAGTGATAACTTATAAGTAATAATTAGTAGATTTGTAATAGTAGCCTTGCAATTTCCATTACAAAAAAAGTAGAAAATATTAAAAATATATATATTAGGTCATATTATTCTGTCAAGGAGTTCTTATACATGTTTGTAATTAATTAAAGAATCATCCAATAAATATAAGTTCTTTGATCCTATGCTATTATCCTTTTTATTCAAAACATTCAAGTTCTTTGATTACTCCACAAGTCTAACTTTGCTTTATGCGTATAAAAAGTCATAAAATTTTAAATTCATATTTAGGAGACATTGATATAAGTTTGGAACAACAAGTTTGGAATTGTAGGAATAATGTTTGGAATTCAAATCGTTAACATTAAATTTAACATCCAAATTTGAAATTCAAAGTCTTTTTATCTGAGACAGGTATAAAAGAACCTAAAACATGAGTAAAATGAAAAGATGAAAACACATTGTAGTGACCCGAGTTAATATGTAAAATTTAAGACCTTGATAATGGACACGATCACAATAAGTTAACTCGATTGGACAAATCGTGTCTTTTTTTTCCTTCTTTTATTCTTTTCTCGGTTGGGTCTTGATTAAGTCTTAATTGACATCAGATATTAAATCTGGAACTAAGTTGAAGAGTTATAAAAGAATTAGAGATGAAATTTAAGAAATAAATAAATGATCAAGGATGAAACTAACAAAATATGAGTATAAAAAAAGAAAAGAAAAAACAAGCAAACTTGGGCAAATCGTCTAAACTTGAGTTAATTATCCAAACTTGCAATCTGTGAAATTCGTAACCTGGATTCAATCAAGAAGCTCAATTCCCAAGTAATTTAACACTAAATGATGAAATTAATTTTTTTTTTATCAAAGCAAAACAAATAACTATTAAAATAATGACTAAATTTGACATTAAAATAAAATGAAATCAAATGTTAAGGGATAAAACGAAAAAAAAATCCAATTAAAAAAATGATTCAAAACAAAATAAATAGTAATCAAAAGAATGGAGATCAAATTTGACAAATAAAAATAAATTAAAAAAATAAAAATTGAAAAAAATTATAAATCATTTAAAATAAAATAAATAGTAATAAAAATAATAGGAGCCATACCTAAAAGAAAAACAAGCTGAAGGGTTGCTTTGAAAATTTAAAGATTCAGATATGAAAATCAAGCCGAAGAGAAAAAGAAAGGGAAAAAAAAAGAAAAAAATATTACTAGCACCAAACTAGAGATTTGTATGCCACACACACACATCACTTATGGATGGTAGGGCCTCTAAGATGATTCAAATGCTACTCCAGAAGCCACAATTTAGCTGTGAAACGCTACTTTATACATCACCTAAATAACATGGAGGTGTCCCACACACTACAGGCACCAGCTAGTTTTTATAAAATAATATTTTATATATATTAAATTACCAAATCTTTTTATTTCAATTCGATTATAGCAAGCAAAAAAAATCACGACAAAAATATGAAAAAGCCCTTAGACGCCAACTAAAGAAATTTTGCATCTAAAGGTAATTTAGTCCTTTTAGTGTGCTTTAAAAAAGGCCCTAGATGCTAACTTTTTTAAAATTACTTTAAAGGGTAATCTAGTCATTTCATTATAGTTAAAAAGATGGAAAAGATCGATTTGCCCTTGATCAATGCGATATTGACTAATGAGCCTTGTAAAAAGACCAAATTACCCTAAATAGTAAGGCGATTGATTTTTTTTTTGGAAGATAAAATAGCAACTACACTATTGTGTTGAATAATGACGTGATTTAAACTACACCAAATAATCCATTATAATTTCTAGATTGGCCAATTATAAGGTTTAAGGCAAAGAACCTTAATAAAACATTCAATGAGATTACTTATAGTATTTAAGTCAGGGTGAGTTTCAAGAAGGCTGCATATTTAATAAGTGATAATCACATCTTAGTCAACTTAATATATATGTAAGAGGGGTTTGATTCATCTGCTTTACCAGCTTTATTTCTTATAATGCATAGTTTTACGCTGACAAGCATAATGTTTTATTCCATAGTTAAATCAAGTTGAAATTTTACTATAAGATTTTAGAGGTCTTGTTTTATATATGTTTAAAATTTCATAATAATAAGATATTAGGTAGGCTTGTAATAAGGTCTAGAAGCTATTATACGAGATTTACATTAGTTTTCTAGTTGGTGTGAGATTTCTTTTCCTATTTGAATTAGTACTTTTTTTAATATTTCTTCAACCTTGTTTATGAATTTTTCTACCTATTACAAATAGGATTATTCAGTTTGTAATTAAGGTTTTGTTTTTTACAGAATTTGATTTAAGAATAATATGTGTGCGTTAGAGAAATTCTTTTAATTTGGTTCTTCATTGAAGTACTTTAACTTATATAAGAATTAATCAAGTTTTGAGACATTTTTCATATTACTCGTTTGCGTCTCTTCATAGGTGTTGGATGGAGAATTCAATTTTTATAGTTTTGGTGTTTTGGTATAGGTTATTGTTGTGTCAAATTAAATCACAAGTCTAAATTTAGATTTCTTACAAATGATTGATTTGACTATAGATTTCTAGGGACATAGTGAATCTCCCTTTCATTTTAGCTTTTTGTTTCCTTTTAATATTTCATATTTTATAATAAACCTTTCTGTATTTCAAATCTACTATGTTGTTGAGAATCTTTTTTGTATAACTAACATAGTGTATAGTTCATTGACTTAATTAGGGTCCCGAATCGATTAAATTCAAACATATGCTAAAGATAATACCAGTGGTTAAAATGATTTAAAATATAAGATACCATGAGTTCAAGTCTTTAACCTTACATAACTTATGGGTTTTTGTTTTTATTGACTTACTACACCAAGCATAATTTTCTTTTCAAATAAGTAAGGTGGAATCTCTCTAGCAGTGTCAGTGTGAAATTGTGTTAATCAATGAAGATGTGTTAAGTGCGTGTGTGTAAGAGAGAAAGAATTTAGAACGTAACAATAAAAGTGGATAAGTGATTTACTAAATAATATGTTGTGGCCTATTACAAATTAATAGCCTCATTAGAATGTAGTCCACTGAACTTAATGCTATGAATTTAGAAAATGTTATAACCAATTGACTTAACTAGTTATAATGATTTTTTGCACTAGTTCCACTCTCATATAATCAAGTATTACTCCAAAAGTAATGGGTTTTTCACTATACAAGGCTCCACTGTTCATTTTATCATACATGATTGTGGATGAGTTGTGCAAAATTTTATGTTTTTTTAATTTAGTTCTAAACCCTTTTTTTCAGGCTATTTAGTCCTAATTGAAGACCAATTAATTTTGATTTCTTATGAAAAGATAAGATTGAAAGAAGAGGGACTGAAATGAAAAAAAGGTGTCAAATATGAATGACATGCCATAAGTTTCATAAAAGATATACTTTGATCCTTGAACTTTAAAAATCATATAAATTATACAATTTTAGTACCTCAATATTTCTCCGATTCAAGTTTGGTACAAAGTTCATTTTTGTCATCTTTTAGTCTTTGATTGAAAGAGAAGAGAGAAATCATCAAATTTTGACAGTAAAGAGAGAAAAGAATCGTTGACATGAATTGAGACACCAAAATGAATGATATTTATGTTAAATGGTTTAATTTGATGATAAAAGTTTATATTTAGTGTTTTTTCACTTTTAAAGTTTGTGAAAAAAACATATCTAAGCTGGGGTTGATTTTTGGATTTAGGTTGATTTCGGTTTTTAGAGTGGTTTTTTTGGGTTTTTTTGAGGCCATGAATAGGTTTATCATGGTTCCTACTTCATTTAATATGTGTTTTGGTTTAAAATATGTTGAAAAACGAGTTTTTATGTGAAAAAGCTTGAATCTTAATTTATCGACTATTAAAGTGGCTAGAATCTAGGTAAATCAGACAACGCATTGTTTAATTTTTTTCTTTTTAAAAAGTCATCCACTACATTTATAAACAAAAAATAAATTATAAGCCCAATAGCACGGGCCCTGAAAAAAATGGTCAGGCAATCTAGTTTGGCTGGTCAAACCCAACAACGCTTAACCTTTGCTTTTAATTTTTTAATCAATGGTTTTTTATGATTTTCTCTATAAATATTTTTAATTTAAATTTAAATTAATGTCCTTTTTTTCTTTTATTTTATCTGGATAGCCTTTTTTAAATGACAATTAATTTTTTAGCTATGCATTTAAATTTTAAGTGTTTTTCTTATTCATCTATAATTTTTTTTAATATTTTGTATGAATGAATTTATTTTTAAAAATAAAAAATTTTATTTTCAGATAATATTTCTAATATGTGCAGCCTAGCATGGTTTTTTTCATCTTATCAATTTAATTTATGTTTCTATTTCTATTATCGTTTATTTAAATAAAAAAATATTTTAATAAAAAATTTAGTAAATATAATAGAGTAAATATCTTATATTTCAAAATTAAATATCTTAATCTACACCTATCTCTTGATTTTTCAAGTTTTAATTTTAGGTATCAATAATGATCTTTTATTTATTTATTTATGATCAATGCGTTAGAAGTTGCAAGAAACTGAAGTCCTACAAAGTTTTTTATTTATTTAATTACATATATATATATATAAATTTTTTAATTTAAATTTAAATTTTTTAAAGTACTGAAATACATTAAAAAATATGCATATATAATTTTTTAAGAAAAATAAAAATATTTTATCCATGGGGAGCAGTGACATAACTAGTGATAACATATGCCGACCACTCCAAGGACCAAACGACTTCAACCGGCCCACTCTCGTAAACAAAAACCAATCAATTTCTGTGGACAAAAAATCATTCATAAGAAATGCCATCATCATTTGTAAACGTGATTTCTGACAACAAATGAAACTGATCAGGTCATCTCCAAGTTGGACCCACCCACTCCTACTCTTCCAAGTATCTAATCTATTGTATTAATTGCATAATTCGTCGTCCCATACTTTTTGACGTTCGTCTTGATGAAGCCCCTCCTTTGTTTTGTTTTATTTGGTTTTTTTCGGGGTCAAGTAATGTTTTAATAGCGTGTTTAATTTTTTAAAATATATTTTATTTAAAAAAATATATCAATAATTATTTTTTATTTTTTAAAAAATTATTTTTAAATCATTATATCAAAATAATTTAAAAATATTAAAAAAATATTAATTTAAATAAAACAATTTAATTTTTTTTAAAGTATTTTTAAAACGTAATACCAAACAAATTTAAGCATGATATAAATGATTTTTTTTAAATTATACTTAATATTACCCTATCAAAATAATAAAAAATATAAAAAATAATCTTAAACAAAAAAGAAAAACTTTTAGAAAATATATTTTAAACACTTTCCAAAACAGCTATATTAATGTAGTGCCTATCTTACTCCCTCCGATTCATTATTAATATCTGGAAGCATGTAGAAAAAGAAGACATGTGTCAATAATTAACATTAAACTGTATCGAAGTCAGATGGAGGAATCATTTTTATAAAAAGACCAACTATATAACAAAAGAAAAAAAAAAGAGGAGCTACATTAGAAAATGTTAAAGAATACAGGGACTAAATAATACGATTAATCGACCATTAAATGGAAATAAAATACACTATAACCAAAATACATCAAATTAGACCAGAAAATCTATATCCACGACACCAAAATACACTATAAGATGCTTGCTGCCTAACCTCCTATGGCAAGTGGACTGAGATATTTTTTTCACTCAAAAGTTTATAAAGTAACTGCTGTCTGTACTAAGGTGAAAATAGGTGATAAAAATAATTTATTTTACTCGTTATAAATTCAAGTTTCATCATTATTTAAAAAAAAAAAAGAATAAATAATATCTATTTTTATTTGGATCGTGTTTGATATTGTACCAATTGTTATTTTTTAAAATATTTTTTATTTAAAAATACATTAAAATAATATTTTTTTATTTTTTAAAATTTATTGTTAACATCACTTACATATAAAAATACTACTTTCTTTTTTAAATTAGATTTTTAGCAAACACGTGGCCAATTGTGTTGCTAATTGTGTTCTTAATGAATCCTTATATGAGAACTATCATATAAGGAATGTTTGATTTTTATTTGCAGGCTATTTAGAATCAATTATGTGTTATAATTGAATTTAATTATAATATTCAGTCTGAATTTTATTGATAAATAAGTTAAATTCACGTGTATAAAAAAATATAATTCAATTTTTTATATATACTACCCTTGTCACTTTTATTTTATTTCTTTAAATGTTTCTAAAAAAAAGATAAATAAATGATATTTTGAAGAATCTAATTTTAACATTAGTTTCTCTTTTTTAGTTTAGTAAATTATAAGAGTTGACATCTAATTTATTTTTGTATTATTTTTAGATATTGAATTTTATTTTAAATTCAATTCTTGATATTCAAAATGTTACAAATATGAGATTTCATTAAAAATTTTAAATTGAATTCAGTTTGAAAAATTCTAAAAATTATGTTAAAGCTTTTTATAAATATATATAGATAAGAAAGATGTGATTGTATTTTCCATAAATCTCGTTTCCATGCTATTTTGTTTAAAAAAAAAAAAAAAAACTTTGACAATCTTTTAACTATATAGGGTATGGTTTCCATTCTTCCAGGTGCTGGATTGTAGTTTAATGGAAAGGTGATATTAGATCATTTACACCTATACTACTGCTTTTTTTAGTTAAAATTTAGCTTAAATAACTATAAAGTTATTTTAACTAACTAAAAATTGTATTAACATTTTACGCAATTTAAAATCATTTTATTATTATTTTAAAAAAATCTCAATTCTGTATTGGTGGCCAATATGATATGGTAATAAAATCAGCTTCTACTATATCATTGACTTGCATTACCCTACAAGTTAGGTTAAATTTTTCTTGAATATAAAAAAAATATTTAGATATTACTAATGTTTTTTAGTGAAAAACAATTTAAACAAGGGTTGACTCGTTTTTTAGTGAAAAACAATTTAAACAAGGATTGACTCAATGTGACCCAACTAACTTTACAAGTTCAAAAATAACCTGAAGTCCCATACAAATATAGTTTAATCTTAATTTTTTTTTTCAAGATGACTTCATTTTTAAATATTAAGGTAATAATATATTTGATTGACTTGAATTAATATGTTAAATTCATGACTCAAGTTATGAAACTATAATAATCTCATAGTATGTTAAATTCATGACTCAAGTTATGAAATTATAATAATCTCATAGAAACAAATTAAAATAAATTATAAAATTTAATTTCTAATCAAACAATATTAAAGGATAAAATTGAAAAAAAATCAATTAAAAAAAGATATAAAAAAACAACTCGGGTTAACTTGTCAAACTCACAACTTACATAATTAAACTAAGATAATTTTATAGAAATAAAATCAAGAACAATTATGAAATTTAATTACTAATCTGTCCAAAAGACTGAAACTAAAAAAATAAATTAATTGATTTTTTTAAAATCAATTAAAAAAAATCAAGTCAACTAGATTAATCTACAAAACCTTCAACTGGGTTTATGAATTAAGGACAACCCAATAAAAAACAAATTCAATATTAAACACTATTTATATAAGATTTACTTTATGAATTAAGGACAACTTGATTTATGAATTAAGGATGTGAGATTGAGGTAATCTTTTATAAAAAAAATAAAAAAAATTGATTTAACTAAAATTAAAATATCAAAACCCACAATTCTAATTATTAGATCAAGATATTTATATAAAAAATAAATCAAAATAAATTATAATATTTGAGTACATTTAGATTAATTTATTAAACAATATTTTTAAATTATAAGACGGTGATTTATACTATAAAAGCGAGATAATTCTTAAAATAAATAAATAAAAGTAATATTAAAATAAAAAATATTAATTGAAAAATATTAAAGAAAGACAAAGGAAGTATTTCTCGAGGGACACACCAAAACATGTGGGGAAAGTAATATTCATTGTTAAAGTACTTTCCGCCAACTGTTTTAGTGTCTGGTTAATTAATAATTAATTATGTCAACACCAAGAAACATAAACTCTTGCACAAAATGAGAAAAACCAAGAAGGTAAAAATAGCTCAACACAAATCGAGCTCAAAATGAAATCTCATATTCGAAAATTAAATTTTATCTCTAATAGTCGCGGAAGGGAAAACACTTAAACACAATATTTAAGGTCCAAACTTTAACCATTTTACCTTGTACAAGAAACAAAGAAACATTTGGAAGGATAAAATAAGCCTTTTTCAGTATGAGATTGGTTCTCAGAGTTTGTATTGGACCGAGGATTCATGCTTCCTACATAAAGTAAATCATCGTCCTCTTCACAATATGGAATACGCGTGTTTTCACCATTGATCGGGTTGAAAAGACCCACTGACTCCTAACATTTGCGTTCATTCTTTACACTAAAATGCCAAACTACAACTCACCTTATAAAATGCCATAATTACCAGAGCAGTCAAGAGATTTGAAAGGGTTAAGAGCTTAGATTCAAGTAAATTTAAGTCATTCAGTGGATTTGTTTTAAGAAAAAAAACTAAAATACTGTGGTTTTACGAGGGAAATACTGAATTCTGGCCTCGCTTTGAATTGAAATGCTCCGAGATCAACCTACAAAGTAACTAGCAACCATGCTTTTAGGAGGAAGAAAAAACAAGAAGAGAGAGCGCGGGGGCAGAATGACTGTTAATGATAAGGAAAGAGAGGGAGGTGCCGTACAGATGGACCCTAGATAGAGATAAAGCAGTACAGAGTTGTTCAAATTGATAGGCTAATTGCTTAATTTCAGAACAAAGTGTCCCATCATTTTTCACTGTACAACTCGCAGGGGCTGAGTCCAACAACACAATATTGTTTCCCAAATTTACCCCTTCAACCCCATGCTTGCAGGACAAGAGAATACAAAGCCAAAACTAAGACCCACCAAATGAAGCTCCTACCTGTTTGGAATGCCAGAAACAACGTCGGTTACCTCATAGACACTTGTTCTTTCCTAAAACAACAGTATTTGCTGGAGCTACACCCTTTCTTGCAAAAACATCAATGCTTTCCCCCCCTCCTGCCCCAGTAGGGAGATAGTACTGTGATATTAGGGTAAAGAAGCACAGGGTAAAACTTAAAAGCACTGATACATCAACACCAGTTCTCAAAATGGGGCTGTTGATGTTCTTTGTAGAGTGTGCTTTTTTGGTAGTTGAGCTGCTGCGGCCAAATATAGCTGCCAAAAAAATATAGACATTTACATCAATTCTATTGGAAACAATGTAGACACTTACCAGCACTCCATGCTGCATTGACTAAATTAACGGCTAATGATAATGGTCTAGCGGTGTAAAAAATGTTAAAGTCAAGAAATATCCCATCCAAAAACACGACTTTCAGTAACTTAATTACCTCTTCTTGTTGTCTCTTGAGCCTCGCATTTTCTTTCAATAACTGTTCAACTTCATTCTCCAATTCGTTTGTGTAAGCCTGTAAGAAAAACAAACATAAAGCACAAGCACAGAAACATGTCCCGTCAACAACAAAACAAGAAATTAGCACCGGTACATGTTAGAAAATGAATCTTTAAAAAGAAAGGGAGATTCCTGTTTTCTAGCTCTAGAACGAGCTGCAGATTCTCGATTCTTGATCATTCTTTTGTGTCTGCGATCACCAGAACTACCATCAGATTCTTGAGTTCTTTTCTTACAAAAAGAAGGCAAGCCGGGAGATGAATCTAAACCCTCAAAAGGACTAGTGAATGAGGAAATATTTGAAATTGGGTTGCTCTGTAATTGCGAGTCAGGCCTCTGAGGATGATCAGAGTTCTCAAGAAAATCAAAGCCAGGGCCAGAGTTCAAACTCAAAACAGTAGCAGGAGGTGGCACTGAAGAGCCAAAAGGAGTGCTGTCTCGAATAATAGAGACCATTCCTGTAGGTGGGTCTTTGTTGAAAGGCCTAGCAAGAAAATCTTGAAGGATAAAGTTAGGGCTGTTATTATTATGATGATGATGATGATGACGATGATGATGAGAAATGTTGTGAAGTCTTGGGGTCATAGAAAGTTCTTGATCGGTAGAAGTGTGTTCATGAAGAGAAGCAAGACTTATGTCTTTCCACACTTCTTCCATGGTTTCGGCCTTCTGTTGGGCTTGGCAGTGAAGATTGTTGGAGGCTGAAAATATTAAAGGAGATGAGGAAGTGGAGGATGATTTTGAAGATATTGATGATGAGACTTTTCGGGGACTCTTTGTCTTATTGTTGGAGCTGATGCCTTCGCAATTTGTTGGCGACAACATTTGGAAGAGTAGCTTAGCTAGATAGCAACTGAAATGTTCACACAAAAAGTTAAACGGCACAAAACATTGGATGCCAACAAACAAGTATTAATACCCAAGATTTTCATATTAATTTCAATTAATTGTTCATGTTTATGACATTATGTATAGGAATACAGAAAATATTATCTTCCACCCCACTAGCATTAAAAAAAAAAAAAAAAACACACGTCAAAACTCACACCAAAGTATAACAGCAATAGCATAGTAAAGGGTCAGAGCAAAACAAACCAGGAGGAGACAAGTGCATGGCTTCTGACTAGTTGTGTTGTTAATTAGAAGTAGTATTATTAAAAGGGTTCGTTACATTCTCCCTCATCTGGTTTGATTATTTTTTTCATTTTATTTTTTTTTAAATTACATTTTACCTCATCATCTAATAAAAATCTTTAAATTAGATGAAATTACTAAATTATTTTTAGATATGATATATGAAAAACTTGCACTTACACCAAGAACAACTCGTGCACGCTATTATTTGAAACTAGTTCCCTCTCTCTTTCCTTAGACAATATTCTCTCTCCAAACAATTCTAAATCAAAATCAATTGGTTTCTGTTAGTTAATTGATTGCAATATAAGTTGTTTTGACTTGATTTAATTAAAAATTAAAAATTTCTTAACTATTAAAAAGTTAATGCTAAATCTTGAAAAATCCTAAAAATAAATAAATTTAATATTCTCTTGAATATTCAAAATTCTATACATGTTTTAGCCATTGTTTAGCCAAAGTAGTCATGTCTTATTGAAACCATAAAAAAACCCAAAAATCAAAGCTTACGGGTTCATGTTCAAAGAACTCTAATGACTTCATTTGTACTTAAAACGTGTATAATTTATGTTTAACCCTTTTATAACCTCTTATAATTAGTCATGTTTATTTAAAATCCTAAGCTTACGGGTTCATGTTCAAAGAACTCTAATTACTTCATTTGCACTTAAAACGTGTATAATTTATGTTTAACTCTTTTATAACCTCTTATAATTAGTCATATTTATTTAAAATCCTAAATTAAAGCTTATAGGTTATTGTTCACATGGCCCTAATTTTATTACATTTTGTTTAACCATTGATATAACATCATATAATATTGCATTGTACACCATGAAAGGTTACAAAATGCAATCTATTACAGCTCATTTTGGTGGTTTGTCATTCTTTGAAAAACTGTGATTATATGGCTTACTTGGACATATTAATCATATACAAGCAAGTGTTTAACATAAACTTCTATGGCCTTTTAAACTAGGGATGATAAAAGGGAATGAATTTCTTGATGATGCATCAATATTACACGTGTTTAATTTGGATAAATATGAAAAAAAGGATTAGTTTTTATATTGATGATGATCCCATTATTCCTCTTCTAATTAAAAAAAATACAAAGGTATTTATTTAGTTAAACTAAATGATAACAGGACATATAGAATAAAATGTTTTTAGGATATTGATAAAAACAATATAATGGTACTATATTTTAATGAAGAAGATTTTTATGATAATAATGATGATAATGACGTTGATATTGAAAGTGTTGGCATGTAAGGGTAAATGTTGGCAGTATTGGTAGTGAAAAGGTAAATGTTTGTTGTGTTGGAAGTGAAGAAGTGAAATGAGTATTGGTAGTGAAAAGGTAAATGTTTGTTGTGCTAAAAGTGAAAGGAGTTAAATAATTAATGCTCGCAGTGTTGGAAATAAAAGGGTTAATGTTGACACTTTGGGTGTAAATAAAGAGGGTAGTAATGAATATAAAGAAGATGAGAAAGGTGATTAAGAGGAAGAAGATGATTACATTCTTTCTAATGGGGAAGGGTTTAATTTTTTTTAACAAAGATAAAGATGAGTGGATTCACAACTAAAGGTGATGTTTCGTTTGGTAAAACTTTGGATGATGTCTTATTCTTTGAGAATAAATGGAAGATAAGTAGTATGAAGATGATGTTGATATTGAAGATAATGGAAATCCGACAATAGTAATGAGGGTAATGAAGATGAAGATGATAGGGTGAGAAAGAAACAAAGGAAACAAAAAATGTTGATTGAATATCTAGTTTTAGATGCAAGGCATTTAAGATGGTAGTTGATAGATTAATTAAATTTGAAAAATATTATATTTTTACCAATATCAATCACTTTAGGGATGTTTTAAAAGAATATGAAGTGAAGCATGAATATCACGTGAAAAAAATATATTAATCAAGAAGAAAAAGTTGGAAACACATATATTGGCATTGGTTATCTATGAAGGATATATGTTTCTCTTGTTCTTGGTAGTAAGACTTTCATGGTAAAAAATAAGTTGTTATCAATAATAAGTCTTGACCCATTCATTTCAAATAAAATATTGGATATAATTTTGAATGACAAGTTTGGGATTATAACATACCTAATATGAATGTGGAGAGCTCAAACTAAGGCGAAAGGATTTACTGAAGGAAGTCACAATAAGTCTTTTAAGATACTCCCAAGGTATATGTAGTTGTTGAAATAATGTAGTCCAGGTTATGATGTATATTTAGAGTTTGAACTTAATTTTAATGCGAATGTTTATTTACCATGAAGTGTTCAACAAGTTTATGTTTGTTTAAAAGCTATAAAAGAGGGCTTTATTAATAGATGCATACCATTCATTGATATTAATGGATGTTATCTTAAAGGTCTATATAAAGATATTTTATTGTCGACAACGAGGTTGGATGCCATTAGATTATTTACCTTTATATATGTTATTGTTAAGGCTAACAACAACAACATATGACGATAGTTCTTGTATGTTTTACATGGATCCATCAAGATTATAGTATATTAGAGGTTGTTCTGCATCATGTCTGATAAGCAAAACAATATATTATCCTTTATATTTTGTTAAATACAACTCTTGCATTTGTTTTCATGTTTTTCCTTTAATTATGAATATTTTTTTTTGCTTTTATATAGCATACTAGAAGTTTTTGCTAAGATATTCCCATAGGTAACATATAGGCACTAAGCAAAACATTTTTATATTATTCTAAAGAATAAAGGATATCATGATTTAGAGTTGAATATTGAATTTCAGAGTGTCTCAAAAGCTTATATGAATCTTTATTATAACATTTATTTGAAGGATATAAAGATATCGACAATGCAACTTTAAATTAGTTAAATAACATCCATATTGATATTTGAGCTAGGTATTTGTTTGATAATATAGTTGAGGTTAAAAATATAACTAACAATTTGGATGAGTCATTAAACATTTAGGTCAGAAAATATAAGTGTGTGCCAATTGTTATGATATATTTGCTTAAGTTGTAAATTGATAAGCATATACCACATTCTATATTAGGAAGTTGTTGGATAAGTCTATTAAAATGTCTATAAATCTATATGAGAATGATTTTATCAAGTTCTAATGGATATCAAGTCTTTAAGGTCCAAAGAAGAGTTTATAGTGATTCGGAGAAAAGACAATACTTATATGCTAAATGGTTAAAGAATATCATTCAATGCAAACATATTATTCCTTATGTGTATCATAAAAGAATTGAGTTAGAAGATTTATATCATGCAATTACACTATTGAAACATTTAAAATGATATAAAATGAGATCATACACCCATTACTTAAGCTAATTTAGATCCTAAAGAATGAGATATTATTCTACCTCCAAACCTTAAAAGGATTACGAGTATATGAGAAAGAATAGATAAAGGGAATGAAGAGAAGATAAACCTTGTACTGTAAAAAAACGAGTTCTCATATTTAGGTGCAACATCTACAAGTAATACGGCTATAATTATAGGACATGCCAAAGAGAAAGTGCTATAAAAGGACTTACTAGTGTTTCTGGAGGTCATAGTGATGCTAGTAATAGTTCAAGTGGTGTTGATAAAGGTTTTAAAGATAAGAAAAATTGGCAGATATTATAGAGAAATGGTAAAGGTGGTGGGAGAGCTACCAATCCATCTATATTTCTACCCTCAACACAAACATATGTGAGTCTCTTAAATATATATGATATGTGAGTCTCTTAAATATATATGATATGTGAGTCTCTTAAATATATATGATATGTGAGTCTCTTAAATATATATGATATGTGAGTCTCTTAAATATATATGATATGTGAGTCTCTTAAATATATATGATATGTGAGTCTCTTAAATATATATGATGTTCATTTATTTTAGTAATTACTCTATTATTAATCAATGCTTTTTTTGAAATTATAGATCAGTGTTGGTACTTTTTATTTTCAACACTCCGTCCAAAATAGCTGTATCGATTAATAAATATAGAAGAACTATTACATGATTTTTCTTTTAACTGTTTGAAACTAGTAAGAGCATAAATATGATGAATCATTGTTGTTGTTATAACACGTCTAAATTATGAATTTGACCTTATTTTAATATGCATGCTTTTATTTTATTTGATATTAATGTTTCATGGATTTTGTTTACCAGGGAATATATTTATTCCATTTCATTAGTTCATGTTGAACAATATTGTAGCTAAAAACATTAAAATTATATATGCTAAATTAGCTACTTATAACAACTTTACACCTACAATGCTAGCTTTTATATTTTGATTCTTGATCAAAACTCTACATGATTCATCTTTCATTTTGTTCACTTCATCTAGTATTCAATCAATATCATTAACACTTCATCCCTTTCCTGTAGGTAATTCAATTTTAGTAATGGGTTTGCACCAATCAATGAATATATTGTCACATAACATGTAATTATATATTTAAAATAACTTGTTTTTACTTGCTTATGTTTTTTATATTACTAGCACCTCATCCCTTTCCTGTAGCTAATTCAATTTTAATAATAGGTTTGCATCAATCAATAAATGTATTGTTATATGACATGTCATCACTATCTAAAATAACTTGTTTTTACTTGTTTTTGTTTTCAATATCATGACAATTACTCTTTTCCCTATATTTGAAACAAGTGTAATAACCCGACCCAGCTTGCTATATATTGTTCACTTTAGGCCTCACCGCCCTCACAGAGACATCAACCTTTTAGTCG